ATGTTTTCTCAATTTTGCACTCTCCCAACCTCAGTTCAACCCAACTCAATGGTGTATGCCTGAAAATTAGTACTTTTGGAACCATTTGTTCACCCAAACCACTCCTGGTTCCCATGCATCCATAATTAACACAGGTCTGCTGAAGCTCAAGGTTTTCTTCCAGAAGACACTCTTATTTGTTGCRAACTCCATCATGGGCAATGGTGGTTGCAAACATKGAAGGATRAGTGTGTCTGGAACAACAATGAGATGCTAGTGCCAATTATATTTTATATGGATGGTATTGCRATTGRTAGACACAGAAGCACAACCCTATGCCCTCTGAACATGACTCTTGGGATATTCAGTGACTATCGTATAGCGTGGGCCAAGCAAAAAAAGACRGTTATAACCGTACATTAGCAATTAAAGATATACRTACATGTATATTGTTCAATATTTGTCTTACGCCATACTCYCCCACGCCATTAGAAAGCTYTTTGAATTCTCTTTTCAACCATGTGCTTATCATACTTAAGCGTCCKYYGKKGRRRAARWWRTWMTAGCTGTTCCCGTGAGTTGAACCTCTCTTAATGCCCTACTTGTTTTTTGTACTGTGGGTGGATTTTGGGCCATCTAATTACCGTGTAATGACTCGTGGGATTAAAAATTTCACTTGTACTAGGCCTACAGTGTGCAAGTGCAGGCGAAACTATATTGCACGTACTACAAGCAGAATTATTTTGGTCKCATGAATGTGGGATTCAAAAATTCAGCACGTGCTCCACTGTACCTGTAGTACAAGTTAAATTTTTAATCCCATGAGTCATTACACGGTAATTAGATGGCCACAAATACAAGGTTACAATCGTGCATCTGCTGGCCAAGCCTATGATACACATTCTACCAGACCTGATCCTTTGGAGACAATATACATCCCCAGGAAAAAAGTAACCAGTCAGTAGTAGACAACATTGCTCAATAGTCTCCATGATGGTTTACAAGCTGCCCTTGCTTCTTTCAAAGAAGTATGCAAGYCCTCTCATGCTATTTGATGGCACAATTATCCATGGAATGGTGGGAAGCTTTTCAATGTTAAAATGAAGTTTGTGGTAGCATTTTTCATTGGTGACACCAAATAGCACAACAGCAAGCTCTGTGGCCATTATACATCTGTGAACACTAGAATGATATGCAGACATTGTAGCTGTCCCCACTCCCTTGGAATCAACACAAATGTTAACTTGCTGAATGGTGCCTCTGTTTTGGAAGAGTTGGTGGCATTGGAATCCTGCGCAGGGAATGAATGCAACAACATGGACATGTTGGACAATTATACTGACATTGAGACTGACAAATGCACAAGAAGGCACAAGATGATGAAAAAACACCTGACAGAAATAATACAGCATATTTCTGCCCCTACAGGTTGTGGCATCCTTCTGATTCATCCACAGAGTCAACTGTTATCCCCCCTTGCTGGACAGCATTGTTATTGAAACGTCTCCTGGCATCACATAAATGCAATGCGGAAATTCCTTTCACAAGCTCATCTTTGGTGTGAATTTGCACAACATACACCTCCCTTCCCGAGGAAAGAGGCTTCATAGTATGTAACAGTTAGGCTGTGGAAAAAGAGCAGCAGAAACCTTTCACCAGCACCCATCATGATGTGTTTCTTGGAACATCAAATAAGCTCCTTGACCCTACTACTAGTATGGACTGGTGGATGCAATAGCCAGCCATTACACATCACCTCAGAGGCAGTCTGACTGTGACTTTCCTTCTTGTACCAATTTTTCAAGTCTCCTCTGGTGAATTTCAAGAGGAGCTAACAGTTCCCATTGACACAGAAGAAGACATAGTAGTAGTAGTACTATTCGTCACACAAACCAGATCTATGGTACTGCGCGTTTCACGCGGTTGAC